GGAATTTATTAGCTATTCTTTGACAATAGTTGAGCAACGGACAATATTTTGGGACTTCGAGTCTCGCCAGTGGAAATCCAAATAATGGATAGAGGATGTCCAAGCCAAGGCTTCCTTGTCTGGAAAAAAAGTCTGGAAAGCAACTTCAGACACGGATGTGAAGTTGGAGTTGACTCAGAACATCCCAGACCAGATTATCTTCACTCATTGTGCACCTCTCAGTTAAAAGAGATTGATACAGAGCTAAGTTTTAATAGCAAGTGCTGATAGGCGCCTGGGAGTGCATGACGGCCATATGCATCTGATGCTTTGCACATGAACTGCTTTGCTGGTTAAAACTAAGTCTGTTCCAGTTTAAAGTTGGAACAAAGTGGTTTTTGTCTGAGCATGTTGTAGCCTCTGGTAGTGAAACCAATTTTGGGAGGTTTTTGGTGTGGTCAGCAGTTTTTTTCAGACAAGCTCTTAAAGATATCAAAGCCAAAACCTCCCCATGATACTCTGTTCATTGTTTACAGCCCAACCAGCAGCTTGGGGTATGAAAATAGAGTCTGTTGAGGGATTATCTTTTACAAAAAATATGACCTGGATTTCTTATTTATCTCCCAGCTGATGCTTGATTCTGATAGGTCAAAACCTGACAAGAGTTAGTTTGGATACCAAGACAGATTCCAGGAGCAACCAGATCACACATGTTGGGTCAAACCAATTGGCAGAGAGAGTCTACACATAATTTATGTTTATGATTTCACCTTCTCATGTTGACAATGTGGCAAAATGTCAGTTTCCAAATAAGCCGACATGCCAGATAGACTGTTTCACATATTCATGACATTGGATTTATTTCATAGCCATCTGGGCAAATCCCTGTGGACGGTGTTTGGCAAGGGCAGAACCTTTCAGAAACCCTCGAAGGGTGGCCAGATAAATGTTCTGTCTTTGACATTCACTCTGGGCCAATCAGAGCATCTGCGAAGGAGTAAATGGCATGATGTAAGCAAACAATGAAAAAGGAAAAAGTAAACTGGCTCTCTAATGGGAGCCAGCTTGTTCATTCATTCACGTACATCTATCTGCTTTAAGATCTGACTCTAAAAGCTGACTTGTCTGTGACCAACACATCTGTAAGTCCCATATGATAGCTGTTAGCTTCAACAATATTTCAGCCAGAGACAAACCTCTGAAATGGAACCATACTACTATGTCGTTATTTCACGTACTATTTGCAAGCGACGTTAAACTCATCAATGGTTATTCTACGAAATTGCCAAGATACACCTCTGAAGAGAGCACGATTACAAGTTCTGATAAGATTTCTGTTATAGCTGCATCTACATTAATCTCTTTGTGGGCCTGAAAAAGGTTTCCCCTTCCCTGTTTGGATGTGATATTTTATCGACAGTTAAAATAGATTGTTTAAATGAAGGATTTCTCTTTCTTCTTAAACTGGAACCACGTCTCCTGCTTCTTTGAAAGGTAGAACTTGAGTGCCTTTTAAAATCTTCCTGTAACTAATTCCTTGGGCGAAATTTCCAAGGTGGCGTTGTTGGCTTTGAAATCATCTAAAAACAATATCTTACACCTAATTAAAGTCTTCTCTATTCCACACCCTTTGAGTTGCCACATAAACATACCTTTAGTCTCTTTTTCTAAACAAATGAACCTGACTGGTCCAATCATTCTCAGATCTGGAGGAAGCGCATTATTGGATGGATCTGCCTGATAACAGACATGAAATCTAGCCAGTACATCTGCTTTGCGAGAGTAGTTTCCAAAAACACCACTAGAAACATGGAAGACATTTTTATTATTACTTTAAAGTTATTTGGAGAGCATAAAACTTTAGATTTGTGTTTGACTGCTGACCAGTCAACAGCAGAGAAAATGAGACAAGAGGAGAAAAAAAGCGGAGGGACTGTCAAGAGATATTAAAACACACAAGGAGTATATGAAAAGACATCACACAAATTAAAGAAAACCTACAAAGCAACCAGAAAGGATAACACAGTATGGGCAATGGTGTCAAACTGGTTTAGTTAGAAAGGAAGTCCAACAGAGAGGTTGCAGTCAAAAAGGTGCTCCTGTCCTCTTCTGTAGCTGATAAATACACTAATGTTTGGACTTAACAATGAATGATAACATCGAGTTTAATGGTAACTTGACCTGCAAGTTGGCTGATAACATCTTACTGAGAACTTAGTGTCAACTCAGCCAATCCTAAGTGGAATAATAAATAGATGATCATTGTCAGTAGATTCCCTTCAGGGTGGACAAGACCTACCTCCTCACCCTGTTGAGATTTTGTTTCACATAATCACCCCTTCACCGTACTTTATCCCCTTAAAAACTGAAAGCTAAACTGTAATCAGACGTGAGCTCATTACAGCCAATGCTTCTCTGTTACTCTCCAACATGGTCCATTGTCCTGCATTCAGCCCAAGCATGCTGAAACACTTATGGATAATACTACTTGGACTGCAAATGAAAAGATAATTTGAAAAGTGATCAGTTAATATTACGCAGACTTCAAACAGACCTCAAACGGACCAGAACATGCTCAATATTATTCAGCTAAATGAATTAAATACTGAAAATACAGCTGCACTGGTTCACACAAATGAGAAAATTGTACATCCAAAAAATGACTAAGCAAATAACAAGAACAAGAATATATTTCTATCATCCACCAAGCCAGTTACATGTCATCTTGCCAGAGAGTTACAACAGGATACTGTAGAAATTTGTGTCAGGATAGTAACAAAATCTAAACTTGGATCTTACTACGGCAGCCCACTGCTCACTTTCACTTCTACCAAACAGACAATTACCCTTTCTATAACTGACATTGACTCACATTTGCACTGTCTGGCAACCTTTTTCAACAACTGCCCGAGGACTTCATGAAATCTCTCTCTCCAGTAACCTCTGACTGTGTGCCATCACTCTGAAGCCTGGTCGTTTTAATCAGCTCACCAGCATTATAAGCCACATTTATCATCATCACTCGTTCGGTTTGCCACAGAGATAAATAGTGATCATGAATCAAGTGGCTGAGCCCAGGATGAAAATTCAGAGGATAATCGTGGATGAGTAATAGTTTCCATGACAGAGGTGGCCACGGTATCCAGAACAGCATGGCACACATGATGCTGCCGTCACAGAGGGGAGGGAGGATGGATGAAGAGTTACAGTCAATGGACTCCCCAGAGAAAACAAATGTGAGCCAATGAAGAAACCAAGATGAGCCACACGCAGAGCTCCCTTTGAGTCTTTGTTTTAGATGTGCTTATTCATTACATTTGAGCCTGGGAAAACACAGGCTAATTATCCTTCCTGACTCACTGAGCTCTTTAGTTCCCATCTGTAGACAAAGAAGGAAGATGCCCAAGTCAACCACTCCAAGGCTACCTCAAACACCCTACCTTACCCAGATTAGGGACACCAAGCAGATCTGATGTGTATACTTACCTGTAAATATCTGCTGGTGGGGCTCAGCTTGAAAAAACTGTGAGGTGTGAGGAGCTTGAACCAACCGTAGCTTTTTATTGGCCATCTTTCCTGTAACGCCATAGGTGCATTTCTTGAAAAACAAAGATTGCTGCTTTTGACAAGGAAGATCTCTGATAGACTGTACAGTTCATGTTACATAAAATGAGGAGATATGGTTGGATTGCAAACCACCCTCCCAGCTTGGCAGCCTCCAGCCACAGGCTTGGTTGTTGTCCTTCCCTGTTATTTTGTTGGGTTGCATTCTGTCTAGTTTACGCCTACAGAGTATCAGCTATGAAGTTTCAGATCAGATGCATTCGAGTCTTGATCCGATACGCTGTAAAATACCAAAGTACATCCTGTATTTCCTAAATCTGAGGTCAGTCATGGTTTGAAAATATCAGGTGTAACTGATACATGGGGAGGGAGAGAACCCAGAATGTTTTGAGTAACCATAATCTTTATTTACAAGATTGGGAACCAATAATGGAAGCAAAACTACCTCAAGGGCTATTTTTAGATTTTTCACCCTGTTTTAAGTTTTTGGGATTTTCTGTGACTAATAATGACCAAACGTTTTGGAGCTGGTCAAGTGGATCAGAAAAGCAGGCAGCTTCTTATAGTCATTAACTCCAAAACACAGATCTTGTTGGCAACTGTATCCAATGAAAGAACATCCACTGGAAGTGCTTGTCTGTCAAGCTCAACCAAACTGTATATACACAAACACAACACACTCCTCTCCCCGACTCTGACTCATGTTTCCACCATCGCCTTCCCTCAACAACTCACCTCTTGGGAGATTTCAGAATAAATTTCCTCCGCTGGCAGAACTAGTGTTTAATGTCAAACCAAAGGGAACTCACTCATAAACAAAATTGTCTTCTTTGAACGGATCCTTTCAAAATATTATAAGGAATAACAAACCAAGCCAGTAAGTTATTCAAACCCCACAACACAGTGATAGATGGGACAGATGTTTAAAAAATATAATTAACGTGTTAATGTTTTTACAAGAGGTGTTCCCCCCCCCAAAAAAAAGACAGGAAGACTCCTCAGCTTCACTTTTCTTAAAATAATTGAATAACTTTAAAACTTTTTCTGGCTCCCAGACCAAAAATATGTGTACTCATTTGATTTCTGTATTTTCAGCCTGCAGTACTATATAATTTAGGCTCTAAATATCAGCATCATTTAGAATTTTACATTCGTATGAAAAACCATCAATCCCATTTTTTATTTTTTATTATAAAGAACAGATGTTTAAAGACAACCAAACTTAGTTTAAATATAACTTTCAAATTAAGAGTTTTTATACAAATATTTTGTGACCGCACTTTTTCAGTCACCCTGTAGTTGTTTTCTTTGATAACCTTGTTTCAGAAGTTCAGTTCTGATTCATATTTACATAAAAGTTTCCATTTATTTTAACATTTAAAATATAAACATAAACCAATCACCATGTTCTCTTCTTCAATATTGATCAACTGTCCACAAAGACTCTGTTTTTTTTTTTATTCTCTACCGGGACGATTTCTCAGCCTCCTCGGTGCCGGCTGAGTTATCGGACTGGTTTGTTCCGGCTGAGCACACCCAGAGGTGAGACAAACACCTGGAGGTCCTCTGAGACCTGGGTGGCCCCTGAGTCCTGGCCGACCAACATGCCCCCTCTCGCCCTGCTTTCCTGGCTGCCCATTGAAGGCTCTCCCCTGACGTCCACGCTGACCTGTGATCCAGACAGAAATATGATTTATTACTCTCCACTCATCTATACGCTCGGTTAACTGAGTCAGAGCGCTTCCACGGGTTCCAAGAACTGAGCATTTACGTAGAAAACTGATTTCCTGTTTGGCAAACATCACAGTCCTCTTACAGTAACACATCCACGCTCCCCTGTGTTGTGATTTCAAGAACAGACTTTGCTCAAAATGATTTGTAAAAAAAAACACTTGGAGTTAGTTAAATATGAACTCACCCTTAGGTCCCTGATCTCCAGTGTAGCCAGGTAGGCCGTAACCCTTTGGCCCTTTATCGCCTTGCTCTCCTTTGTCACCTGTAAGTCAGGCACACACAGACGCATAAAAACATATTTTCTTTTAGCAGACAGGCTGAAACAGCTTTTCCTCAGGACTCAAGAACACCCTGTACATGCTGATTAAAGACCATACGTGTTACTGACATCAGGGTCAAAAAATGTTTAAAACACCTTGTAAATATTCCTCAATTTCACTGGCTTAGCACAGGAATGTAGCGTGAGCATGACATCATGCCCAAGCCTCAACTAAAAGCTGAGAATATACATGCTAGCCTGAAAGATTTACATGTCTGTACATTATTTGGTGTGGCAGGTCCATATAGCACGTTGCATAATAAAAGTTAGTCAAGTGTGATCGTTCCAGTCATGGAAGTACTGAAAAGAAATGAAACTCTACAGATAACTAGACATGTCCTGATTTGAACATCATTACATTTTCGAGTGCTGTAGTTATTTTGCGGATCAAGACGTCTGGATAAAACGAATAAGCGAACCATCCAGTTTTATCATTTGAATGCTGCATGATAGGCTAATTTCCTAGTTCTTCATATGGGAATTTAAAACCAAAGGAATCAAATCAAAACACAGTTAAAAGTGCATAAAATGACTCAGCACAGCTCAGCATGGGATCAAAAATCTTTGTCATGAGTGGTTAACATTAACAGCCAGCTGTCAGTCATCCTTGCCGGTTCACGTCCCCTTACCTGTGTCGGTTATGCGCCACTCTAGTTGAGTTGACAGTTTACATACAACTTAATTTCTACTTTTTGATCCATTTACTCCCTTACCAGTGCTTTAGCTAAAAAAAAATTGCAGTACAACCCTCATTGTCTTGTTGATATGTGTATCATGCTGCCAGTATCAGTGAACCATTAGTATTCTAACTTTGTACAACTCAGAAAAGAGGAAAGGAGACTTCAGTTATCATCCAGGAAAACATGCTGCAGTCTTCTTTTTACTCAGATTTTCCCCACAGAGCCTTGGTTACTGGTGTGTGCCCCTGCCACAGCACAAGCACTACACATTACCAACATTTCAGGCCTACAGTAAGACAGATATGAATAATTAGTTGCACTAACTAGTAATTCTTGTGCTGATGTCTAATTTTGGCTACCGCTAAAGTAAGAAAGTGAACTGATTGAAACATTTTAAAGATAGTTTGAAACACATACCTCATGCTCTATTGACAAAAGACTACCAACTATAAACTACGAAGTGATGAAGCAATAGGGAATAATCACCTTGGGTAGCCAGAATCTCACCTCCTAATAAAGCGATAAGTTGCTAAATGTCTTCAGGATGTGTAAATCAGCTACTTATTGCCTGCACATTTACTATATCAAATTTACAAGGTGATTATATGTTAGTGATGTGTTTACAGCTTGGTGATCTGCCCGCAGCCAACGAAGGAAAAAAATTAATTACTCTGAATGCTTTTGCACCTCTGGTTCCTCCTAAAACCAGCAGTGATAAATGACAGTGGTGATATTTTATATTATTATTAATTATACTCTCAAAACGATCCATCAGGATTGTTTTTTTCACACCTGGTTCTCCTTGTCGGCCCACGTCTCCAGCTTCCCCGTAGAATCCCTGAACTCCCACTTCTCCATCAACGCCATCATTACCAGGGTCGCCCTGGCAACACCATCAATTGGAAAATACATCATTAGTCTTTTGTATTTCTGAAACCTGCAGTGCTGTGCTTTTATTAAGTCATAAATTAAGGTTAGTCTACCTCTGATCAGCTTTGAGCACAAAAAGTGAACAGATTTATCAGGCTAACTATGTCATTTGTTGTTGTGAAAACACTGTACTCTGCTGGTACATCACTGCTCTTGGTTTGGAATTGAATGCCACAATATGAGGCATGCCAACCATAATCTAAAACAGTGAACTATTTTAATATAGACGGTGTTTAAAGAGCATTTATCAGCCTGATAGTCATTGTGATTAAAGAAGTTGTGGAACATGAGTTGATATTATAATGTGGAAAAGGCTTTCCAATCCAAGTATAGCCTCAATCCTCTCCAAAACCCATTCAACTCAGACCAAGTGTCTAGTCTGTGACTCCTTATTTGTCCACATGGAGACGTGGAAAACCGTAATGTTTTCATTGCGAGTTTATCTGCCAAGTTTTTCAGCTCTTGTAGTCCAGTCCAGACCCTCACAATGTGTTTGCGTTTTACTCATCTTGGGTGCCAAAAAATGAACAATGTATGGAGCATTAACAGCACTCTGGATTTGTGTGTCAGCTGAAGGTCTACAGGACCTTGGATGACACCAAAGGCTTATTCTGTGAGACATAAAATCTTTATAGGCAGATTCAGCTGAATAATGACCGTCCAAACTGTAAAAACTCACAGGAGGTCCAGGGGGTCCTTTCTGTCCAGGGGGACCGGGGGCACCCAATGGCACATCTCCATAGAGAGGACAAACTGCAGCACACGTCCTCTTCACTGAGTTGGCAAAGGTGGACATCTGCTCCAGAACCACTTTCTTACAAACCTCAATCACGTGTTGAGCGGGGAGAGTCGGGCCCTGTGTAAGAAAATCATTACCACATCCATTACTGGAAGTGACCCAACTGTGGGACATGTAGTATGGAACATTACAGAACACGGCACGCTCAAGCAATGGCTGACTCTAAGAGGAAACGCAATGAATAAATGGAGCCAACAGTATTTCCTGAGGCTCATAATGGATTTATAGCCGCATTAAATGACGCCCTTGCTGTGAGTCACTATTAGCTATGGGCTAATGTGTAACTCTTTCAATGTGTTCTTCACACTGAAGTTGTTAGCAAACACTGTGTCAAATGTGTGTCAGTCAGTTTGAACATCCGTGTAAATGATTACTCTGCAGTTTTTCTGGGCCATCATTTGCAGACAGACGAAGAGCCAAATATAGCAGAGACCATTACAGTGTTGACTACTCAGTGCTGTATACTGTAGCAACATTTGCTGTATCAGCCAAAGAAACTAAAGACTTAGGGGCTGGTATTCTACTTACTGGTGGACCTGGGGGCCCCTGAAAGCCATCTGGTCCTCCTTCACCTCGAACCCCTTTGACTCCAACTGTACCTGAACGTCCAGGTGGGCCCGCCGGCCCGCGCTTCCCCCGTCCTCCCTGAGGACCCTGCTCGCCCCTGTCTCCAACCTACAGAGCAGGTTAACAACATGAGCAGAGCTGCTGTCAGGACAGGGCCAAATCATCCCACAGAACACAGGGAGGTATCAGCTTTCCATAGAAACAAACTTCAAGGAAATGACTTTTATTATACTATATGAAAAGTAATGAGGAAACATCGTGACTTCTCTGTGGATGATTAAGTTAGAACAGGCAGTGACACAATCTCAACGGTAAAGGGAAATATTCGCAGACATGCATAATGCAAGTTTTAAATGTATCCCAAAGACCTGCAGTGGAAGAGTGATCCGACTGTTTCAGACTGGTTTCTGCAGTTATGAACATAAATCATGCTTGCAGAGCAGGTCTCTGTCAGAGAACAAAATATGTGAAATGTGCAATATTCATTTAGCCGTAGATGTGGGTGGTACTGCGCTCGTTCCATGTACAGATGCTCTACATAAGTTATTTGGTGGATTGATTGATGGATTCCATTGATTGAAACAGAGTGGGTTGAACAGCATCTTCAGTTGGTTAAGTGGTTGATATGTTACAGTCTTAGGAAACATACTTCGAAAGCAGCTCTTTTCAGTGACTCAACCCAACTGAAGTTATGAAGTAATTATAAGCATGCTTTTATAATCGCTACAGAACTTTATTCAGAAAGTTTTTTAGTCAGTCAAAACTGTGGCTCCAGTTCATGTCTACTGCCATGACTACTAGACTCATGTCTACTACTGGTTGAACTGGCAGAAAAAGAGGTGTAACCAGCAAAGGCATGTGGACGTCAACCTACAAGAAGGACTAAAAGATGGTGGTGCTAGCTCCGCTAACAGTAGTCATACCCGGCAAAGTGGATTGTGCTGAATTTTGACTGCGGTCTAAATATTTTCTTACTTTAGACTAGTCAGCTTGTTGAGTGTTATACTAGGGCACATTCACACCAGGACTGTTTGGTTTGGTATGAACATGCAAACGAACCGTGGTACCTGGGTGTTCTACTATTCAACAAACATGCTGACAATGTGTTATCTAGACATTCCTTTGCATCAATGCCTGGCGACTCCTTGCACAAAGTCTCCGCCACCTCTGGTGAATTGCGAGAAGCAAGACGCCTACTGTTCTCTCTGGTGGGCTACTCTCTGTGCGTTGCGGGACAATGAAGATTGTGCTCCAAATGAGCAGGTGACAGACAAGAGTCCCATGTGAATGCTTACTGGACCTAATGCAAAATGCAACACTGTAAACATTTGGTCCCTGATCCGGACCTTCTAAGCGAACTTTGGGTGAGAAAGGCCTCTTAGTCACTGTTGTTAGTGGTATCAAAATCATATCATAGTTACGGCTCACCTTTCCTTTTGGCCCCTTGACTCCTGTTGCCCCCTTCAAAAAAAGAGTAAATCCATGTGAAGATAATCAAAGATAAGATGAAGTGATAAGCAGAGGTTATGAAAAATTGAAGGGCTGTACCTGTGCACCTTTGACTCCTTGAATTCCCTGGATTCCTGTATCACCCTGCACAAGGCAAATGAAAAATGAACAGCTTATATGTTTGCAAATATTTACTATATCAGAATATTCTCATCAGGCTCTGAGTCCACACATCTTGAGTTGAGTCCATGAACCGGTAACCATTATTTAGTGGTCTCTTGAATTGTGGAATTAATTGGTGATTTTGCTGTCATTTCTAAAGGGTAATGGATGAGGATGTATTTACCTTGGGCCCTGCTTTTCCAGGCACACCCACGTGTCCCTGCAAAGACATGACATGGTTTAACGGCTCGAGGAAAATGAACTAGTGTTTTGGAGGAGTTCAGAAAAATTCAGCTGGAGCACTTACAGTAGGTCCCGGTGGGCCGATAAATCCGGGTCTTCCTGGCTTCCCTGCAGAACCCTTGTAACCTCTTGGGCCCTCGAGAGTGAAACATTTATTAAACCGACCTAAAGGACTGCTTTACACTTTGTCATTTCTCTTAAAGATGGCAAACTACTTTACATATGAAATGCATTATGTGCTTGTCTGTAGTGACTCAAAAGAGACTTACAGTTTGGCCCTGGGGACCCATTTCTCCTGCTGGCCCAAGAACACCCTTCTCTCCCTGTTACAAAAAAATACAAACCACAACAAATAAATCAGCGAAAACGACCTGAATGCATATTAACTTGCAAAAAATAAACAGGATCAGTGAGGTACCTTTGCTCCAAGTTTTCCAAATCTTCCACTGGGACCTTGTGGTCCTTGATAAGCCTGCACAGATCACATATCACCGATAAATAACAAGCACAGTGTTTCTAAACCTCATGAAGAAGTCCTTTTCCTCAAAATGATGAAATACCTCTATTCCCGGGTCGCCATCTCTTCCAGGTATGCCTGGATCTCCAACAATGCCCTGTAGAAATACAAGGATTAGTCAAACTGTGAAGATATTTTAAGATTGTATGTATTGTATGTGATGCTCAGTGGGAATCACCTTTGGTCCAATGGTGCCATCTCGGCCCACAGGTCCTACAACCCCCTGTTTCAAGAGTCCAGAATAAAAGCATGTTCATTGAATTTCAAACAAATGCATGTCCTCATATAAACCTGTCAAGTTTTCATTTCATAGAGGTCAATTTGTGTTACATACAGGCTGCCCTTTCTCTCCAGCGGTGCCCCTCTCTCCAGGATCTCCCACGATACCCTGTCAAATCATCATACGAAACAGCATAAATTCAGATTTTTCATCATATGGAACAGATTTTGTCCGTACAGCAACATAGAACCCAAAAAGGTCTTGTTTTATATACAATAGAGAGGTTATCGTTGTGGTTAAGGCTCTTCTTTCAGTGACTCATCAGCTCATGTTGATATATCTCGGGCCGTCAGATCGCAGCCAAGATCATTCACGTGTTTTAATACTGTTTATGGACATAACACATAGGCCAAAAGGCAGCTCGTCTCCAAGGTTTTACCACATTTAAAATGATTAAGTGACTCACAGCACTCAAATGTGAGGATTTTGAAGGAAGATGGATAGTTGAAAGTGAACCAGAGAATAAAAAGGTTAGGATTACAGAAGTTTATACTTCTTTCAGCTCCTTTCAGCACATCTAATTGAGGATATTTCAGTGCTAGTTTCTTTTACATGTCTGAATAAAGACGTCAAATGAAGCAGGTGGAAACCTTTAGAGGGTACAATTAGGACTTTACAGCACAGGATGCCTTCACAGCTCACCTGCTTTCCTCTGGGCCCAGCTCGCCCTGTTACACCAGTCCTGCCTTTTTCACCCTAAAAAAAATCAGAGCATGAAGAATTAAATCCTGTCTAGAGCTGAAAAAGCAGGAATAGAAATTAGGAAATTTGAATACCTTAACTCCTTGAAACCCAGGAATCCCTTCATGTCCTCTCTCCCCTTTGGCTCCCTTCAAGGAGGACAGATTGTTAGCAACACATTATTCACAAAATGACTAACAAAGGTTGATCAGTGTGGGTGAAAGCTAGTCTTACAGCTTCTCCTGCTTCTCCAGTCTCTCCGAGGTCTCCAGGTGGCCCCCGAACTCCCTTTTAATTAGAGTCAAATGTCGACATGAAACCCTCTGGGTTATCTATAAAGTTATACAACTCCAGCAACAAACTGCACAGGAATCTAATGAAAAGTCAATAACTGGCTGCAGATTACCTAATGAAACAGCCAGTTAAAGCCTCAGCTCAGCAGTTAGGCTTACCTTGAAGCCTGCCGCCCCTTTTAATCCTTTCAGCCCCTTCGGACCTCTTTCTCCCTGTCAATACACAGCTCATTAATACAGGTTTGTAACATTTCAGAGCATAAATGAGGAAAAAAAAACGGAGTGTGATGAATTACCACTTGGCCCCTGAGTCCTCTCATTCCTTTCTCGCCTTTGATTCCACTTTCACCCTGAGGATGTGGGAGGGTGTGTGAGGTTTCATTAATGCATTTTGAAAACGTGCCAAACTGAACCCTGATAGGAGCACATGAAGGTAAATCTTACCCTCGGGCCTGTCTCCCCCAGGATGCCGTAGTCTCCTGTGTTTCCCCTGATCCCCTGCAAAAGAGAAAAAGAAAAGGATCACTCACTCATAAGAAAGACTTGTTGCCCTGCAGCTGATTGTTTGTAAGCGGAGCGGTGTGAGAAAATAATGACTCTATAAGATTAAACTTTGGATGCACCAGGCAGATAAACTGTTCGAATGATGTGTCCGTAGTCACTGTTACAACACAGACATGATAAATTATGAAAAGGAAAATATACAGCTTCATATATACGTATATGATAATGTGCTTTGTAGCAGTTGGATTCATTCTTATACTTGTAAAGTAGAAACTCATCCTGGTCTTTACTCAATACTCTATCATTTCAGTACACTCAATTGTGTTCCAGGTAACAACAATTAAGTCTTTCAGGGCTAAGGGCTTATATTTAGGGCTTTGGGTTTAGGACTTAGGGTTTCAGTTTAGGGCTTAGGGTTCAGAGCTTAGGGTACAGAGCCTACATTTGGGGCTTAGGGCCTATATTTAGGGCTTAGAGTTTAGGGTTTAGAGCTTAGGTATTGGGCCTATATTTGGGGCTTAGGGTTTGATTTAGGGCTAAGGGTTTAGGACGTATATTCATGTCTTAAGGTTTCGATTTATTGCTTAGGGTTCAGGGCCAGGTAAGTAAAGGCCAGGATGAGTTTGCTCAGTATTAAACTAGAGCCAGGAGGAGACAGCCAGCCGATATCTCTGCAAAGCTAACATAATCTCCTTACGATAACCCTTAGGCCTGTTTTCGACCGCTGCTTTTATAAGATGCACAAAAAACAGTCACCAATTTTCATACAGGTTAGTAAATCACAGCTGAACTTAAATCATGGAAAAGCTGGGGTATCCCAGGATTTATCATCACATTCCCAATGAAGCTCCAAGCAACAGTTCGCACAAACAACTGAGCTCTGTCTGGAGAAGGGTTAGTCTGACTTCCACAACATCTAAATTAACACTTTTAATCATGATAGTTTTTTTCTGTTGAGTGCGTGTCAGTGAGATTTGTGCCTTGCTGACAGTCGTCTTTGGATGTGCGGGGTCGTTATAGAAGTCTTTTAAAGTTTTTCCCTCCAGTTCTTTGGTGTATTAAACCAAAGAACTGGAGGGAAAATCTTTGAAAGACTTCTTAAAGAGTTATGACTGACAACCCCACACATCCAAAGACGATTGTCAGCACGGCACAAATCTTTGTAGCCTGGTGTTTCCAGACCCATCAGCCGGCTCATATCCATTTTTGCTGGCATGTGGGTCTCCCTTGGTGGCGGTATACTAGACTAATCAGGATCCGTTATTTAAGATGGTGACACAGGAGCACTGCTTCACTGTATTTGTGTACGACCAAGATGGCAGCTTCTGATGTCCAATTAACCATGGCGACTGTTTTTGACAAAACATGTGATGTATTTTCACTAAAAAAACTTTCCCCTGCATGCTGCTGTCTGTTCACGTTACTATTGCTGTGCACTTCAATGAGTTTTATGACCTCTTGATGCCAAATCTCAGGATTTTATTCTGTCTTTGGAAATTTGTCCGTGACTTTTCAATTCCTTTTAAATGCCATATGTGTGAGGGAAGAAGTACTTGTGCATTTGGGGGCTCTCTTTAACCCCAGAGTGCCAGTCAAGCTAGTTTTATTTTAATTAGTTTTGTTCAAAATGTCTCTTTTGAGATGTGCACGGTCGAGATAGCAGCTGAACCAAATCTACCTTGCTTTTTCTCCCTGTATTGAATCCCCCGGGCTAAGCGTCTCCTGGCTTTTGCAGAAATATTTCCGGCTTTTGAAAAACATTTCCTACTCAGATCCGAGAGTGGTATTATTGTAAGGAGTTACTCCAAAGTTACTCCCCTAACATTAGCTGTATAAAACCACGGACGAAATGAGGATTATTAGGCTGAAAATGTGAACATGCTATAAATGTCATGTTGGTGGAAAATCTACACAAGCATATTCAGCGGGATTTAGGAACATTCGTCATAAAGGCAAGAGAATGGCCCGGTATTGTTTGCACAGATGTTGACTTCCTCAGTAGTAAAAGTGTTTTCCAGTTGGCTGTGTTTCACTGAGTCAACAAACAGATTGAAAAAGGCCACGGTCCCTTTGTGTTGGAAGTTTATTTGACCATCTCACCTAACACTTTTAAGCAGAGTCAGCTGGGAGCAGGTTAACCTCAAAGATGGCCGATGATACGGCCAAAGGCATGACCGTGAACTTTACAACATCTTTAAGGCCGTATAGCTCAGAGAAGCGAAAGGACCACCCACTACCTGAGAAGGACACTTCATATATCTGTGCCAGGAAATGCCCTCCTTGAATGCCAGCAGGGGAGGAGATAAACATGTTGGGGCTTTGTGATTCACAAGCTGGCAGACAGTCAAAACTCTAACGACTCACACAAGACAGATGTTTACTCCCAGATGAGCTACAGCTGCAATTCAGGACATCAATATGAAGCATGTACCGCTCTGGAAATGTGCTCTGAATGCTAGAATACATGTGTTAGCACGGGCAGCAAAGGGGGGGATTTCCTCGTGTGCGAAGGTCATGTTAAACCTTGAACCATCACATTTGTTTGAAAAAAAAAAAACGTCTTTACACACATGTTCTCCGGACTGTTTTAAAAAGACTCAAATCTGATCCAAGCTTACAGTGACTGCTGAGCATCAAAGAGGTTAACAAGTCATAAATTTAAAGTGGAAATAATCACGTCTGCGGCTCCCTGAAGGATACTAATGTGAGTGTATTTGTTCATTCACTCATGCATGTGTGGCTGGCTCCTGAAAGTAGTACGTTTTGTTCGTTGAATTTTCTCAAAATTGTCTTTTTCTCCCGTAATCTTGACTGTAAATTTGTTAGTTTTATCCACAAAAATAAAGAAATCAAAAGATGAATTATCAGAGATATCGAACTCAACAGCGAGGCAGACGAATGCCGCTCATTACCAGACACTTGGAGCGTTGATGCTCATCTGCTTCGTTTCCCAGTGTGTGTGTGGGATTCATTAAGCTGGGCTCAGTTTCTTCCAAATGGAAAAGCAAAAACCATTAGAAAACCCTGTGATGGTTTGCCAGAATCTGCTTAATCCTATACTCGGTTCCTGTGTTGAAACATGCAAAATGGCTATTTCAGGACTACAAAAACAAATTTATTGTCACATCTGTATCGTTACATGTTTGTCTTGGCGTCGTCTTGATTCCTTAGCAGAGCGGACATGAGTGTGCAGACTATGAAAGGAGCCCCTATGTTTACTATCGCTGAGAGCTTCTGCTTCCAGATCTGTTTCCATCCTGTCCTGTCTCAGTTGTACTTCTGCTGCCATTTTCCACAGCTTTGCTGCTGTCTCACAAGGTTTTACAATGTCACTCACCCACAGTTTGGTTTAACTCTTTATTGGACGGCAAAAGGCGAGGGATGCTGCTAATAAGGTCGTCAAATTTCTTTATACTTTATGATACCGTATGGATTTTTTCACATTTAGTGGTAGGAAAAAGTACAGAGACTTAAAAAATCTTCAGAAGGCATTTCAAGATGGGTCAGTCCTTCTCAATACAACGTTTTATACTGTTAAAGGTTTGGTATTTAGAAGCATCTGACAGGTCAGAGTTGGTTTAGGCTGAGTATTTTAAAATTAGCGTATAATCTCCTGAATATAAAAATAGATATTTTATATTTTCAGTATGAGCTTTTTCTATCTACACAGGAGCAGGTCACTGTCTTGTACAGCCATGTTTCTATGGTGGCACAGATTGGACAAACTTCTTACAAACATTTGTGTATTTATGTGATGGTTTAAAATCAGAGCGGGATTATGCAAAAAAGATCATTTATATTGGCAGCTGTTTGTAATGGTATAAACATCATACTTAAAATGCATCACAGGAACTTTCTGTCTTCAAAGGCTTCCATTGTGTCACCAAGAGGGGTGAGCAAGGGAGCATTTTAATCTAGAATCTGCCTGCTAAAGGTCGCTAAACATTCCCATTTGTCTTTTAGAGTATTTAAGGCTCATGTGAGGAGGTTTGTGTGGTTTTTGAACCCACTGACGTTTACAGTGACACCTCTTTGTGAACTACAAAAGCCAGTGAGGGGCTTTAAATGGACTGGTATATGTTCAGCTGACTTGGCTTGTTCCTGTAACGGTACTGTGTGCAGGTTGGAAATTGAAAATAAGAATTTGTGGTTGGAGTTCTGTCTTTGTTGGAGTTTTTTTTGAGGAGGTTTAAAGTTTGTTTGTTTTTTACTAGAACTGACTAGACATTTGAAATTCTGCTCTGGTGACAACCTTTGCTCCTAATGTTGCTGTTACAGTGAGCTGTGGTTAACTGGTTAAGCCTGCCAAGTTGTGACATCAGTCAAGAGTGATGGTAATAACGCTTTAATATTCAGTTGGTGTTTCTCCATTTTTGCTGGTGCTCAGTGCTACCAACTCAAACAGTGAACTCTTAGCCCTGATAGGACATTTCTCCAATACTAATTTAGTTATAAACCTCCAATACGGCCTAAAATTAAGCATCTGGTATGGGTCAGAAGCCGAGCTAGTGCAACTTTGTGATGACATCCCATAATTTATGACTTTCTGATATCAGGCAAACTATCATAAGACATTAACAAACAAAAGCCTGTTATTCTTGTTTGATTTTAATGTTAGAGAAAGCTGACAAAATGTCAAAAATGAACATTTTTGGATCAGTAACATGTTCATTGTTTGTTGACAGGAGTATTCAAAGGCTTCTCTATCAGCTTATACCTGACTCTTTGTGGTAGTGTTGTATCAGTAAAGACAAAATCGTTTTAGTACTGCTGTAGTCTTGGGGGTTTTGTGACGTAAAGTGAATTTATTTACCCAGTTTCCTTGTCTTCCCAGGTCTCCAGGATTTCCTGGAAGACCTCTGTGACCCTGTAGAAGAGAAATAAACGTGTTTTCATACATTCATTTTTTCTTATCAAAGTTTCCTGTCAGTTTTCTTAAGTTTAAAAAACTTACCTTTGGCCCTGATCGTCCCTGAATGCCAGGTTGTCCGTGCATACATTTACAGGATGGTCTTCCAGCTGTCAGGCCGATCTCTGCGTACCCTCCACACTAAAAACAGATGGGAAGGTTCAAGAAGGGTTTAAAACTCAAAACTTTTCTTTAATAGAAGCGGAGAAACCATCCTGAGTAATCGCTGACTCACCACGTTGGAGAGCTCGCAGCAGCCCTCTGAATAAGCCTGGTCTGGGTCACATGACACCTCCATCTGCTGGAGGTCCACCTGGAGATGAAATGAGAACTTAAATTGCATCCCAAATCAAAGGAAACTGAAATATGAGTGTAGAAACGTGCAAATCCTAGAGGTCAACTTACAGACATCGAGCGATCTCTTGCAGCTCGCTTCACGATGGAGGTGAACCCTCGCTGGATGACCGGTCTGGCCTCGTCGATGGACTCCACACTGACCTCCTCACAGTCTATCAACAGCTTCACTTGACCTCCCTTCACGCTGAGCGCCAGCTTGTGCCACTCTCCGTCGAACAGCTTCTCCACGCCACTGAAGGTCCTCAGCATCTGGCTCCCGTGAGGGCTGCTGTAGAAGAAGTCCAAAGAGCGAGTATCACCATGGAAACGAAGCCCCACCTGCTCTCGTCCCTGTGGGTCGCTGACCTGCCACAGGTCCCAGGACGTCTTAGCAGCGTCTTTGGTCACTTTAAATGTTGCGATGACGGAGTAATTTGAGGGGAGTCCATCTGGATACACATCTCTGCGGCACGAGAGAGAGAGAGAGGTTTTAGAGAGCGGGATCAGAGAAAGCCGGCCATCTTAAAAAACAATTAAAGGCTTTTGTGGGAACATGAGGGTTTTATTTTATGAGTGGGAGAATAAGCAGAAACAGAGCCTCCAAAATCTCATGTCTAAACTTCACATTAGTATACAACACTTTAGTTTAAAACTTTTTATGAGGTTTGTTATGATGATGCTGAAGCACACAAGCAATCTTTGTTTTCTCCTTTTCAACAAAACACATTTTCAGCAAACTTAGAGACAATGCAGCATTCAGAGAACAAAGATTCAAAGTAAAACCCGAGTCGTCTGCAGACATGCTGGTAGCTTGTGAGGTACAGCATCGCATTTCTTTTGTACTTTATTGAAGATTATTTTTTTAATTTCATGCTTTTGTTGGGGGAGGACAGCGGTTAGAGTAGGAAACAAGGAGGAGGAAGTAAGGAATGATGTGCCAAGGACTCGTACTCAGGCAGCCTGCTTTGAGGACAAGAGTCTTTGGAGGGTTTAACCACTAGGCTACACTGGCTCTCCATGTACAGCCTAGTTTTGAGCTAAACGCTAACTCTCTGTGTTAGCTCATAATGCAATGCTAATATGGAGATGGAAAGCAGGTGTAGGACCACCATGTTTATTGTCATAACCAAGGATGTTGGTTGGCATGTTAATGTAGGTAATAGATCTTGGGATGTTTCCGAGGGGACTACAGTGTAAGCCAAGGTGACCAGATGTACCCGATTTCCGGGGACAGTCCCTGTTTTGGATGACCTGTCCCCGGCTAAAAGACTGTCCCCTGGAAATGTCCACGATTTAAGCGTTTCATGAATGAGAAATAAAAAGTTGTGCAGTCCTGTACAACAGTTTTTATGGGGGGTTACTACGGTGGGTATGCTACAAAGTACTACAAAGTTGTTGTCTGTGATCACACAACCCATTCCCCCCACACACAGCCCCAGAAGTCCCTGGATTTCAGTACAGAAATCTGGTCACGTTGGTGTAAGCCAGCTTGAGAACAGATAATTTAGATCCTAAACTTTCAAGTCTGTCTACTTTAAGAGGGGTATTTGTTTTTTTTATTTTATTTAGTGAGGTTGTCTTTAGTCAGTGTGATATCCTAGTCAGCTTGGCCTCAGCTGAAGTACAGGCTAGGCTATCAGCCCCTGTAGACATGGTCAGTTTCACCATGTAATTTAGCTGTTTTTGAGAAACTCCAACCTAAACATATAAGTTGGTTTGTTTTGTTTTGAAAATTTTCATCAATTCCCCACCAGAAAGACCGTTCAGTTATATCTACATTTCTCCCCCTGGTGTGTTTTACTCTGTCTTTATTTGGAGTCTACAACGGACTCAGTTGCACAGGCAAACCAGTGTATATCAAGCTAATATATTTTCAGTCCCTGGTTTTACTTTCGTACCTCATGCTCCTTCGCAGGTGGATTGATGGGTTGACTCTGTAAGCTACCGCCTCAGGTTGAGAGCCGTCCACTCTCCTCACTCCTCTAGACTCGGGCACATGAAACTCCTCCAGCAGATCAAAACCTCACAGGACAAAAACAGATTAGTCTGAGATCACACCAACCCAAAATCAGAGGTGCTGAGGTGTTTCTAATTCTTATGTCATCGATGATTTCATTCATGTATTTAAACAGTTGTCACTGATAACACTATCCTCTCACAGGTGCATGAGGTCATCTGTTAGACTTGTTCGCATAAGCAGGCCACTGTTGTATTTGGCTTCTGAGCTCCAAACACTGACCACTTTGTTCTGCAGTTTGAGTGAAATCAGTGTGTCTGTGGTGATTCTCATTAGATTAAAAACTGACAAAATATCCTAAAATATTCTGATTACAAATGATGGAAAACGACCCAAAAAGACCCGCCGAACGAACAACAACATGAGCTGTGACAACAACTACAAGTGCATCTCAACACTAGTGCAGGTCTAAGCAATTGAGTTTGTGTTGTCATGGTAACAGGTCAACTCATGCAGGGCTTCAAAGGTTCCTGTGCTCGGTTTGACCTAAAGATGACCTCTTTGACCTCTTATGTCCACAAAGACACTGAGAGTGAGAAATACCTTAATGAGTCTACAATGGACAAAAACTGACAAACACTGCCATCTGCTGGTCAAAGAAAAATATTACAATCTTCAGGACATGAGAAGTTAATCTGTCAGAAATATATAAGGTATTTAAGTGAAGCTTATCCAGTCAGAAACCATCTGACTTTGATTAGAAATGTTTTTAACGAGAAGTGTAGTGGCAAAAAGGTGATTTAAAAGTGATCAGGAACGAGCTCAACGCAGCTTAGACAGCCAACAAGTCAGTGATGCTTCAAAGTCAGTTTTACTTTAATATGCCAGTTTCAAGGGAAGTGAAAAAACAAACTTACTTGGTAATTTTTGACATTGGGTCAGTCCCAAAATGCTGCAGAAGGCTGCAAACACCAGCATGTCTTTGTAGGCTGGCATTTTCTATTAGCTTTGGAGTCGGAGGCTATAAGTGCCTGCAGCAGAGACATAAATGAACCAATAATACAAACATTTAAATCTTAAATAGCATCAAAAATCCAACTTCACTTAAAATATTATGTTACTTTAAAAGTTTTGGAAAGAGTTTAAACAAACAGAAAAATAAAATCCAGAATATTCCAGCAGAGGATTTTTAGCAGAGTTATTTTAGAGTTCCCTTTATGCTATGCAAAATGAAAATACAATTAAATGCAATTAATCTGATGCAAGTAACACTTACTACTCTAGGATTCTTTTATAAGATTATCAATCTGCAAAAAATGCGAAATGCGTTTCCATCTATTTGAATAACTTGCAGTCTGAGCAATTAAGGGACACGATAAGAACCAGCTATTTATTTACAAACACAACTGGTCAAACTATAATGCCCTCTGTATAATAAGCAATCTAGCATCATAGAGAACCCCAATTTATAAAATAACTCACAAACTTTCATAAAAGTTTCATAAAAAATGAGGAAAAAAAGCATGCAGTGTAGTAATTACTCACATATTCCTCGAGGAGAGAAAGTCCCAGGGCTCCTTCTAAAGGGTCTTTTCCAGTTCCCGTTGTGAGGAGGTATCCCGCTCTAAAGTGCCATCCCCGGGTCAGTGTTTGAGCTGAACAGGACAACCATTCAGACTGAATCTGTGGACCTCTGAGGAGCCTGACCCCTGAGCTCCACTCCACCTTTGGTCCCCAGGGGATCTGACTCTTCCCATAGGCCAGTTACACCTCCAGCACCAGTCCAGTAAAGTGAGATAAGTCACAGTAAGGGTATCAGGTAAAGCATGCAGGTTAAAGCTGAAAAGATGAAAATCACAGTTACGTTGAGGGAAAAATCAGTTCTTTGGAAAAGCTTTGATCAGTGCAGCTCTTAACGAAAGTTTGTGTTTTACTTTACAAGGCTGTAGGTACATCTCTTTACACATTCACTGCTGTTAGAAATTGTGCTGACTGTAGTTAAAACTTTATAATCGCTTCATAAAACAGTAACAGATTTTTAGTTTATGTTCATAGGAGACAGCTTTTCATCGTCTGCAGAGTCTCAGTGAGAGAAAGATGCAGTATGTCACAGCTAAACACAAGACGCTCTGCAAACATTCCTCTCAGAGGAGACCACACCTTCAACTTAAACCACCTCAATGCAACCAAAAAACAGGCGACAGGGAAACTGTGGGAAAGGAAGGCACAGTGAGACAAGGGGAGAACAGATAACCTGTTAATACAAATACAAAGTGAAAGGAAAGATGAACTCGGCATTTTAATTCATAAACTCCAGATATTAATGATGATTTTTGCACTTCGAGCAGTTGTTCTCGTACCACTTGTCCTTTAAATCAGTTTAATGACCAGTCATCTCCGGAAATGACTTTAAATTACGTGATAATTTTTCAGTTTTTGTTGATTATGGTGCCACCCATGAGCAAATTTGTGTCTCATACATGTGCAATGACTTGTTTAACACTCAAAGACATCAATTATCAAGAATCTCTGCTACTGGAAAATTTAATGTACCGCATATCTTTTCTATGGCAGTTGTGTCAATATTTAATCATATAGAAACAAACAGTGTTGTTGCTTACGGCCTTTTATTTTTGCTGTAATAGCTCATGCAAGTGTTAGGGCCTGTGCACACTAACAGCAATTTTGCACTGGCAGGGTTCATGATCTGAATTTCAGAGAGCTAGTAATGTTTCCCATTGCTCTGTTAAATAAGTCATTCTGCGGCACTTCCTCTTCTCTTAGCAGTGACCATTGAGTTTGTTTTGAAGGGCTCATATTTGTTTTCAGTGACATTTTACAGAGGAAACATAAAATTACAGAAATGTTGTCATGACATTTGTAGTCCCCCCGGTGTCTCAAAGGCTACATTCATGCTGCAGGTTATGATGCGAAATTCGGATTTTTTGTTAAATCCGATCTTTTTGTGAGGTCGTTCACATTACAACAACAAATGTGGCATCTAATGTGAACAGAATGTGTACGTGAAGTGACCTGCATGCACATAAAGCACAAATTGCTTTCCGCACCTGTTTGTGTTGTTGAACCATGATGACGTTTGTAGCATATTGATGAAGTATAGGTCGGATGAACGCGACCTGAGCGTCCACACTGCAGTCACATCGGATACATATCCGATTTATATCCACATAAAAAGGAGGCCTGGGTCGGATTTGAAAAAATCAGAATTGCACTGCTCACACATGAAAAAATCAGATATGTGTCACGATGCTGGAAAAGTCATATTGTTGAGTACAGTGGTGTTAGACAGGTTGGTCTGTTTTCAACTGAGAGGGATGTGAGTGCAGCAACTATCAAGGGCTGATGCTGACAGTGTTTTTATACTCAGGACAAAGCGCTTAAAACTGAACTACATTGATTTTGTACAGAAAATGCTGTAAGTGGAGACAGGCCCTTATTTTTAATCATAGGCACGACTTGTAAATAGTTCTAAAATTGAGCCTAAATTTGGCACAATGACGGACAACGAAAGCATGCAACTTGTTCATGTTTAGCATCTGCTCACCAAACTGAATTTTTGTCAGTGTGCGATTATTTGATAAATGTATTAAAGAAAATGGGTGTACTTTATAAAACTTTCAGGGATCCTAAGACTATAGCATACACCGAATTCAAACCAGTTGGCCAAGAGAGATACTTGAGATATGTATTTACTGGATATAAGGAACTGACCTGCTGATTTGGCTTCAGAAAAGTTTTTGAGAAACAAGAGAAGTCTGTAGGATTGTCCCTTCTGGAGTTTCTGCTTGTATCGCTAAAGTAAGGAACTAAAATAAGTAAAGCAGAGCCATTTCTGTGGTCCCCACCAGTTTTCTGGTGGTTTTCTGCAAGCAGGTTTATTACAAAGTAATGTTACAGTAACAATTTCAGCTCTACCGAAATTAACCATACATTGACATGGATGCACAATAGAATGTCTACGTGGAGTGGCACCTTTTAAAGGTCAATGCACACACTGCTGTGAAGTGGCTAAACAAAACAGAGACTTCAGCGGCTCACAAACAAACAGGACTTCAAAGCTTCATGATTACGAGGTTTCTGCTACTTGCTTAAATAGTGTTTTCCAAGGTTTCTGCAGTGCTTACTGGGGTTTATTGTAGTATATTGCATTGCCCTTTAAATGCATGTTGGCAGTATATCATAGCACTTAAATAGATAATTGCAGTGTCTCAAATGGTACCATAATGCACCATCTACTCCAAACATTAGCAAACATAAATTACAGTACATTCAGTAACTTTCAGAGCGCTATCCTGCGTGTTGCCCTTCATTAGTGTGATGCGAAATGTTAGCTAACCGTGCGGCGTAGTCATCCCAAAGTTTTCTAGTGTTCATCAAACCTCTACAGGTTTTTCATCAATAAAATAAAACACAATAAAAACAATTTGACATTTTTCACAGAAAATAAAATACATTAAAAACAAAGACACAAGGCCATGAACAATCCATTCTCACATAATATTAAACCATATTTCCTCTCAACTGAATATTTTACATCTTTGCAACAATTTAAATAACACTCAACACATTTGCAGTCTTTAAGTTAGATTCTCCAGTGTCCATCGCGTGTTTGGGGTGCAACTAGCTCCTGGGTGTCTTATTTTCAAGGCCACTGACTATCGCTTGGATCCCTTGGCCAGTTTGCTCGTGGGAGTGGTTTTTCTCTGGGGAGTGGGGATCTTGGAGGGTTTCCCTCCGTGTTGTCGTGATGAAGAGCGCGGCGTCGCTCGGGATGAGTCACCGACTGTCTCGGACGCGTCCGAGCAAACGGACTGGATGTCTGAGATGTCAAAGTCAGAGGCGTCACTTCCTCTGCGGCTGCTCCCTCTGCTTCCAGCTTTGCTTCCAGGTCGGCTGATATTTTTTCTTGATTCTGGAAAGAGAAAATCAAGGAAAGTGATAAATGAGCATCAAATGATGAAACTAGATGGTGGAGGAACAACTTTTTGGGGCTGGTAGTTGGTTTTAATTCCACTGCTGGCACATCTCAAGTAATTAACTGCATGAACCTTTATATTAACATTTTCGTTCGACTCAGTTCCTTACCGCTAATTTCAAGACTGTCATTTTCTCTTTCACCTATTTGAGTGCTAACAGGCTAGCATTTCAATAGAACAGGCTACCTGTTTAAGACTAACACAACACCCTTTAAAAGAGCTGATTTGTACCTGAAAGACCAAAGATAATTTTTCATAAACTTATTTTTAAGAAACAAACCAAGAAATGTAAACTGTGCTCCTTAAAAAATAACAATAATTTATGATATTGACCGAGACACTATCGTGGACATGAACATCCCTGTTTATCAGAATACACAAAGACGGAGCTGTGCGATATTTTTAATGCTATTATTATCGTTGTAGTTTTGCAGTAAGCGCTGAAGCTGTCCGAAATGTGTCAAAACAATAAAACCATTCAAAATAAAAAATAAAAATAGCTTTTTCACTCACCACCTATCGTCTGTGTTCGAGCTTTCAGTACGGCAGCGCTGATCAGCGTCCCCTCTTCGTTCGCCTGCAGAGCTTTTCCTGACATGAATCCAGGCAGACGTAGTTTGCTGCCTTGAACTGGCGTACCCTGCAGAAAAAACACACAACTTTATTAACTATATCTACAGAGAATCATGATAAGCTGCTTAGAGCTTCAGGAACAACATCACAGACACTAAATAGACCTACAACAGGAGAGTTAGTGCTAAACTGAACAGAGAAACTGCTAAAATGTTGGTTTTAGTGACTAACAGGTGAGGCTTTCTTTACAGCAGTTAGTATACAAGTCCTGTTTAACCTGTAGCTGTAAGTATTTTAATCATTATGTTAAACCTGTAATAAATAAAGACATGATCATACAGGCATTATTTTGACAGTTTTGATAAGACACGTGCATCGATATGAGAAAGACGTCGATCTCAGGCAAGAATCAAATGATCAGCGAAT